CCCTGACATCACCGGAAGTGTGTCATAAGGCCACACCCCCTGACATCACCGGAAGTGTGTCATAAGGCCACACCCCCTGACATCACCGGAAGTGTGTCATAAGGCCACACCCCCTGACATCACCGGAAGTGTGTCATAAGGCCACACCCCCTGACATCACCGGAAGTGTGTCATAAGGCCACACCCCCTGACATCACCGGAAGTGTGTCATAAGGCCACACACCCCTGACATCACCGGAAGTGTGTCATAAGGCCACACACCCCGCCCCCAACGGTCCCGGCCGCCACCGCCAGCCTTGCTGCTCCACTGCCGAGCCCCATGAGGGGCCCAGCGGTGGACCTGCAAGGCCAGCAGGAGTGCAAGGAAGCCCTGGAAGGCCCTCCCTGGCCCCAGGCAGGCAGGGGTGGGGAGAGGCAGGGAGGAAGCAACTTACCCTCCCTCTTCTCCTGCCTCCTCCTGGCTGAATGAGGGCCGGAAGCGGGGCGGCCGGAAGCAGGGGGCGGGGCTTCATCATGTGCCCCGCCCCCCGTACCTCACCCGGGGGAACTGCGATCCCCCGCGATCCCCCCCGAAATGACCTCTGTTGTGAGGTAGGTGGGGCTGAGAGAGTATTATGACAGGCCCAAGAACACCCAGCAGGCTTCATGTGGTGGAAGAGTGGGGAATCAAACCCAGTTCTCCAGATTAGGGTCCGCCACTCTTAACCACTACACCACGCTGGCAAAGGCAGAGGTCCTTTGTATCACCTGCTACCTGATCCTTGCACTGGAGCTGCCAGGGCTTGAACCTGAGGGTCTTCTGCCTTCAGAGCAAGAGCTGTAACACTGTTCATCATCATTGTTTGAGATCCTCTTCAGATGTCCTGCACCATGTGCAACCAGCGTCAGGAATGAGGTGGGTGGCTGCGGGAGCAATCCTAAACAGTTCTCCTCAGAAGTAAGTCCCATTTTTAGCTGTTGTAGATTTTCCGGGTTGTATGGCCGTGGTCTTGGCATTGTAGGACCTGATGTTTCACCAGTAGCTGTCACTGGCATCCTCAGAGGTATAACACAGAAAGATGGAGTACTCAGCAGGGCTTCCTCCCAGGAAAGTGTTCTTAGGCTAGTAGCCTGTGGCCCATTGTTTCTGGTATCCCTTCTCTCTATACTTCCACCTGGTACCTCCTCTTTGGAGCTTGATGAAGGTATATTTTATTTCCCTGGTCCTTTATTGATGTTTAGTTTTGTTGATTTGTTGTTAATGCTTTTCTGCTATTGCTGCCATTAGTGTTTTTATGCTTTTGTGGCAGCTGCTGTGTGGTATTCTCAGCTGGAATTTGTATTTTAGTTATGTTGCTGTCGTCATTATTATGTTTTCCAAGCCACTGCCAGAACTTTGGTTATAAGTCCAGGCAGGGTCTCCATCTTTTAAATGTAAAATAAACATTTTTTTTGTCTAGTACAAAATGAAGATGTCTGTGGTAGATACCTTTGACATAAGGAGAGCCCTTTGTTTTGTTTCCCCCAGATAAGAAGATATTGAATCTTTGTAATTTTAAAAATTATTTTTCAGCACAGCGAACACTTGGTCCTTTATTGATGTTTAGTTTGTTGATTTGTTGTTAATGCCTTTCTGCTATTGCTGCCATTATTGTTTTTATGCCTTTGTGGCAGCTGCTGTATGGTATTCTCAGCTGGAATTTGTATTTTAGTTATGTTGCTGTCGTCATTATTATGTTTTCCAAGCCACCGCCAGAACTTTGGTTATAAGTCCAGGCAGGGTCTCCATCTTTTAAATATAAAATAAACATTTTTTTGTCTAGTACGAAATGAAGATGTCTGTGGTAGATACCTTTGACATAAGGAGAGCCCTTTGTTTTGTTTCCCCCAGATAAGAAGATATTGAATCTTTGTAATTTTAAAAATTATTTTTCAGCACAGCGAACACAAAAGCCAAGGGAAGAGCTCAAGGCATGAAGATGAAACTGACCATCTACGTGAAAGGTATGTTGCATTTAAATGCTTTGGGCTATAAGACGCTGAGTTGCAGACTGGAAGGTCTGTAGTTTGGCAGTTCGAGACCCTAGTGCCATGTGACGGAGTGAGCTCCCGTCTCTGGCCCCAGCTCCTGCCATCCTAGCAGTTCGAAAGCAAGAGATTGCAAGTAGATAAATAGGTACCACTTCGGTGGGAAGGTAACAGCGTTCCATGCGCCTTGGTGTTTAGTCATGCTGGGCACATGACCATGGAAACATCTTTGAACAGCGCTGGCTCTTCGGTTTGGAAATGGAGATGAGCACCGCCCCCTAGAGTCGGATTCGACTGGCTTTCGAGCAAGGGAAACCTTTACCTTTACCTATAAATGTGTCTCCACTGTCCAGAGCTGCAAAGACAGAGTACTTCCTTATCCCTTCATAGTACTCATAGGAACATCGCCATCACAGGGGATTGCCTTCTACCTCTCTCATCTTGATTTGCTAGTCCAGGGGAAGAGGGGTGGGGGCTGTGACTGTGTGGTAGAGCATCTGCTTGATATGCAGTAGGTCTCAGGCTCAATCCCCGGCATCTCCAGTTAAAAAGGGCCAGGTAGTAGATGATGGGAAAGACCCTGGAGAGCTGCTGCCAGCCTTCAGTAGACAATACTGGCCTTGATGGACCAAGGGTATGATCCAGTATAAGGCAGTTTTATGTGTATTTCCTGTGTACTCATGTGGGTATGAAGAGGTATAAAATTCATACCAGCCAACATCAAATATTTCAGAAGCAGCATCATAATTTCTGAATGCTAATCCTGAATGGACAAAAGAATACATATTCCTAGGCATGATTTTTAAGCACTTGGGGTGACCAAATCTGTATGATTATTTCAGCCCATTGAAGCTGATATATTGTACTTCCTTTCTGGATCTTTTGGCTTCAGTTCCCATTTTCAAAGGTAACAGAAGCTTGCCACAGGCTTGCAGATTTCTAGTTTCACCTTTTTTTCTTTTGATCTGCAAAGCTCTGTTCTTAGGGGAAAAGCAAATGCCACTGGCTAATCTTGGACAGATTCAAGCCATCTTTTTCTCTTCTTAATAATGTCTGGAAACTCTCCTTTATAGAAATTCTGCAGTGAAACTGTGATCTTAGGCAGAAGCTCCGAGCACACCTTTTTGTTCTTTGAAAAACCAAACAAATCAAACGAGTGAACTTCTTAGAAGTGGCAGTCATAAATGTCTTGTGAAAAATGTCACCCAAGTCTGGTTATCAGAAGTGAGGGAAGACTGTGAGTCGATCAGTCACGCCTATATTGTGAACTTTCTAAACTGGGATCCTGTTTGTTTGGCTCTCAGGCTGTGTATTTCATGTGTGTGTTTCAGGAAGCACTGGGTGAGCTCTGATGTACATTATGGTACAGACAAAGGGAAATAATTCTTTACTTAATGAGTAATTAAGTTGTGGAATTCACTGCCAGCGGAAGGTAGTGATGGCCAGAGGCATAGATGGATTTAAAAGGGGATTAGGCAGGTTGATGAAAGATAGGTCTATCAGTGGCTAGTAGCTATGATGACTGAAAGGAATCTCCATGTTCAGAGGCAGCCAACCTCTGTACCCCAGTGCCAGGAGGCAACATCAGGGAAAGGCCTCAGCCTCTGAGACCTCCCGTGTCCTTGGAAACAATGTATTTTGTCCTTTATTCTTATTTATTCACTCTCTATGTATATATATTTTCCTTATAGGAGTTCAAAAGAAAAAATAAAGAACCAGGCCAAGAGTGAAAAAGAAGATACAAGACAAGAAGTGAGATAAATTTCATTTTGTGGGTACTAGAATGCCAGAATGTTTTGTTGGTACTAGAATGCCAGAATGGTATGGGGATTGAAAATACCCAAAAGGAAAAGCAAAGCAGTAGAGTGAGTTAAAATTGAATATGAGGCACAATCCAGCTTCATATTCAAGGGGTTTTAATCTCTGGTGATTTCAAAGGTCAGCACGCGCTTACTTTTTGACATTGGCTTGAATCCAGCGGAGGATTTCCACCCACAGAGCACGATTTTCTCACTCCCCCCCCACTGCTATGGCTCAATATAGTGTTGTGTTAAAAAATATCACAAATAGGTATTGAAGTAATTTCCCATGAAATATTTAAGACAGGTTGAGCTATTTATGAAGATATTATCTAAAACTAATGACCAAGGGACAACGAGCACTTGGGAACAGAAATCTGTTGAATGCTGCTTGTAGCTGGGTACCATCTCTGCATTCTCAGCTAGGGAGGCCGTTGGCCTAGTTGCCTTTCACTCACCATGGGCCCGCCCCTGAAGAGAGGGTATTGGGGAAGACAGAGAATCCTTTATTAGGCCAGTCAAGGAGGTCCAAAGAGAAAGGGCCAGAGGTGAGAGAGAGAGAGAAGGGTGAGCTAGAATCCTTCTCCTCCATAACCGAGGCTTAACTGAGCATGGTCTTGGAAAAAGGAATGCTGGAGGACACGGTGGCCCCAGACCCTGACCCACTGTCAGGGGAATTTGACCAGGGGCAAACCTTGTTTACCCTGTTCTGTCTGCCCAATTACTTACAACCATTGACTTCTGCTAGCCACTTGGAAAGTCCAGCCCCACCAGAGTAATCACCTCTAACAGTAAGGTAATTCAAGACTAAATTATACATTATATTAACTGCATAATTTTCAAGAATTGTTTTTTAATTCATTTTTATATGTCATATGTGTCATGTGCCTCTGGGAGATTTACGTTCCAAAATGGAAAACATTCTCATCACTGTCATGTAGATACTTTGAGGATGACTGTGCATTACAGCTGATAAGGACATTTAATCCACTGCAACTGATCTGTAAACAGCTGTATCTTATAACGTATGGAACCACTAAGTAGCAAAAGTCAATGGTTGCCTACAGAGTTTGTGGGCCCTTGATAATTCAATAGCACATCAATACATCCTGCAGGCTTCTCACCGGTTGACTGCCACCCTTTCTGAATGTGTGAGTTGGCTCTGGGATGCTGGGAATGGTTTTCCCGATCCCCCTTCCGGCATGGTACAGGGTTTAGAGGGTCAGATTAGGATCTGGCAGACCCAAGCTGGAATCCCCACTCTGCCCCTGAAGCTCTCTAGGTGACCTTGGGCCAGTCACAGACTCTCAGCCTTACACGTACGACATGCTTGTTGGGATAAAATGTATTTATTTATTTATACTTTAAATTTATGAATCGCCCAGTCCCTGAGTGCACAGGGCTCTGGGCGATGTACAACAGAAGTTTAAAACATCAGTGTAATATGGTTAAAATTAATGGAGAGTAGGACAGTGTAAATCACTTTGGCTCTCCCAGTGGGGAAGGAAGGTGGGTTATAAATGAAGAAAATGAACCAAGATCCTGTAGCCCCTTATGCCCCAGGGCATTTTGTCCACAAGTTTCCCTCAAGTGCCCCTCCCAGTATCAGCTTTTCAGGGATTCTAGGGGGGGCTGCTGGGGGGGAAAGGGAAGATGGGGGGAAAGATCTGTTTTGTGGTTTATAGGTTCGAACCCAATGTCATTTCTCTAAGATCCCAGAACTGCCAAATAAGGTCTCTTGGGCAATAAAACCCATTAATTTTGGGTTGTATGGTTACATAACAGTTTAATCCCCCCGTTCTGTCTTCTTTGCTAGGAACTGATAAAGGACATCGCTAATGCCTCTAACTCTGATGCAGATTACGATAATTATTCAGCGAACTATGAGGAAGACTTTGAGGTGAGTGCAAGCAGGCAACGTTTCAAGAGGTCAGAGGGATGAAATAAATGCTGCTGATCCAAAGAGGATGATAATGGAGGAATTTTAATCCGTGCTCTCAAAGCCATTTATGAAATCTGTATATTCACAATGGTGAATGCGGCCACAAAATACAACCTGTTAGGAAAATGCTGCTGATTTGGAGCAGATCAAACGAATCCTTCTAAGAGACGGTTGTCATCTCAGGAGATTTCATTTTTAGTAATGAAATCAGCATTTTAAATCTACAAGGGGGCGGGACCCGCGATACTCGCAGGGGGGAGGGACCTCCACACAGGAGGCAGAGGAGAAAGCAACAGGAGGAGGTAAGTTCCCCCCATCCCGCCAGTTCCTCCCCCATCTCCTCCACACACCCCCGCTCGATTTCCCCCCCTTCCCTCCCCCCCCCGGCTTCGAAGCAGCGGCGGCGAGAGAGTTCGCAGAGCATTCCCTGTGCATGAGCAGGGGCAGCTCTGTCACTTTTGGGGGG